GCATTCTTCATGTTCAAATTAATCTTTGAAATTTCTTTCCCATGTACTTTTTCTACCTCTGCCATATTCTCTATGACTTTCCACCCTAACAATTTTGTTTGTTTGTTGTTTGTTTTGTTTATTTGGATCTCACAGAGGGATGGCCTATCTTTGTTGTGGAGCCAAAATGTAAATGTCTGGCTATTAATTTGATTTCTGGGCTTGGAGTGCTGGGCCAGTGTAGGAGAGGGTGCAGTGGGTATGCCACATTTATTTTGAACCATCTAAAGGGGTTTTAAAGTATAGGTCACAGATATAAACCAGACATATATGGAGAAATGTGACTGCAGAGGGTAATAATTAATATTTTGATTTTCTTCTTGATCTACAACTATATCTAGTACTTATCTAGGTTCTAAAATTGCACTTTTCTGCTGCCTTGTTCTAATATGTGTAAAGTCTTACACTATTAATGCAAAATTCTTATTTTATGTACATTGGGTGTTGAACTGGCTGCAATACAAATGCCATACATGAATGAACACCAGGACTGTATGCACGTGTCAGAGTCACTGTTTGCTCAGACACATTGTGGGAGAAATAAGCATGATTAGGCAAACTTGTGCCTTTCAACCTGTTGGGTTGGAAGATATCTAAGAGGATTAGAAAGCTTATGAAGAGCTTGGTATAGCCTTTGAAAATCTAGACCAGTCTTGGATGCTGGTGAGTGTGCCTAGATTATTTACTGTGCTGGGTGTTTAACTTCATCTGACAGAACAAGGAAGGAAGCAGTCTGAATAAATGTGCTGATCCCTTACTACTGTAACCTGGAAATTGATTTGTGGTTACTGTAAAATCTATCATAGTCCCCTGCTGTTGAATACCAAAATCTTCAAAAGATAGTCTAGTAGGATAATATGATTTTTTTTTTTTTAAAGGAGCTTAATTATATGATATCCAGTTAAACATCTAGTAGGATTTCCAGGAAGATTAGGTATTGAATTTCCATTGGAATACACTAGAATAAGAGGAGTCTGGATTAGTTTTAGAAGAATTTATTCTTCAGTTACTTGATTCTGTGGTATTAGTAAGTGGAGAGTTTGGTAACCTCACGGTGCTGGACTCTGTGCAAATGCAAGAGAAAGGAGTCTTCCTTTGCCATTGCAGTAGCCAGAAGAGGAAGAGAATGGGTGAAGGAGGGCACAAAATAGGAAACAGACTTCCCAGGTGTTTTCTGATGCTCCAGTAAAGTCTGGTTCACTTCACCACCATGACACTGGCTACTGGCAAATCTAGAGTCTCTGCAAGCCCTCTGCAACCTCAGTCTAGATGTGAGGAAACGATGACTTCTGTAATTGTTTGCCATGGGTATTTAAGAAAAAAGAACTTCGGTTTTAAATGGATTTTTCCTCTTCAGTGCTTATCAATTCAGTCAGGCTGATTAAAAAAAAAGCCATTTTCCTTGGTCTGCAGCATCTGAGCAGACACTGGTGAGTTGCAGCCACCATGCTTGTTTTTGTGCTGTCCATGACCACCACCACAGAAGCTGCCTGCTGTGGGAGCTGTAATCACAGCGAGCCTTGACCACCCTCTCCAAACACTGTGGAGCTGGATTCAGTGCATTGTCTAGGGCATGACATGCTCACACCACACAAATGACTACAGCTGTTGGGTGCTGGCTTCTGATTTCAAAGCCTCCAGCCCTCCTGCAGAAGGGCAAGCACTCTCTAGCTTTGGGAGAGACAAACTCTACCATTCCCCGGGAGCTCTGGAGGTCAAGCTTTCATCCTGGTGCCTTGTGGATCAGGCTGCCTCCCCCACCTTTCTCTTCTGTCCCTCTTTTCCTGGGGACTGTAGAAGACCATAAAATGCTTTGATAATTAAGCAGGGTAAATTTCCACAACCCATAAAACATAAAAGGAAATACTAAGCCAAATTTAGCTCTCAAATACCTTTCAAATAACTTGTATTTAATGCGTGGTAAATGTCTTTGGTCAGAGCTCTTGAACAAACAAATCTCAGAGCCTGGTTTATAATGTTATGTGTCCAGGCTCACTATAGCCATTCTGAGAGCGTTCCTTGGTTCAGGTTTCCCTCATAAATTGCAATGTGGGAACCAGCAGAGGTAAAATAAAGACCTGACCTGAAACTTTGCCCAAACCACAGACTGGAGATAAATTGTTCTTTTGAAATTTGAAATAATATTTTCTTGTTTATATAATCTTTCTCAGTCAAGAGTGCAAGAAATTTGGTAAAGGCTGGCACTTGCAGCAGACAGAGAGAGAAATTTGCAAGTCTGGAAAAATTTGGAGAATAGCCTGAATAGTGTTTAGAAATGACAGACGGTGATTGGTAGTAACTATGTCAGATGAGTTTGGTTAGAAATTACATGAAAGCATTCACAAAGTCAGTGGTACCTGCTGGGCACTTCAAAGCTTTGAATGCAGGACAAATTAACAGGAACTGAGCATGGACTTCTTCAAATTTAAACCATCGTGTTTCACATACTTCTGCTCTCAGTGTTCTGAGAGCTTGCTTTATGGCTGGCATACAGCTGAATTGCAACCTGCTCTTAATGTTTTGGGCCCATCATGTGTTATGGGTAAGGTAACGTGTTTGGCCTGTTCAGCTTTAGGCTGGCCCATGCTTGGAAGGGAGTTACACACCTGCACAGCAAGGAGCTACCACCAGCATCTGGCTCAATGTACAAAGGGGCACAGAAGAAGCCACAGAAGCCCTTGAGAGGTAGAAGCAGTCTCAGATATTTGGCCATCTTCTTTCCTATTCTAAATGGCAGAAAAAACAACAGCATTTTTAGAGCTTCCTTTTTCAGCTCCAGCAGACAGTCTTTGCAGTCAGGAGGAAATTTGCTTTGCAATGGGAATACCACTGATGGGCTGGGATATTTGTGGGCACAGAGGATTTCAACTTCTTTGGTTTTTTTTTAAGAGCGAGGTAATGAACTAGCCATTACCTGCCTTGGGTTGGGGAGCTTGGAACTATGGTAAGAAGATGAGAGCATAACAATGATGAGGGACAGAGGTCTGAAGTGGGGGACCCAGATTAGAAAGATTAAGAAAATAGGGGCTATGGGGTCAGGAATTCTGACTACTGAGATGTAATTTTTCCTCTCCTTACTCTTTATGAGAGACTTCTCACAACAGCCCATGTGATAACTTGTTTCTGTGCTGTCTAGTTAGATGTTTGCTAGGCCAAATTAAGGTGCCAGTGTTAAACTCTTATGGTTTATGTTGTTTGAAATCTGTAATTGTTGGAGTCTTTTTTTGGTGCTTCCAATAATAACTTGCTTCAGATTTCCTCACTGCAAAGCTGGCAGCAGGCATTCTCAGTGGAGACCAATGTTTTTTGCAAGGTAGAGGTTCACTCCCTTAGCTTTAGGCTGACTAATTTGCCTAAAATAATCATCTGTCTTATAACATCCTGGCCTGATAATTCAAAGGCAAAATACAATTCCCTCTGCCTTTAAAATTAATTTTGTTATTTTAGGAAAGTTTACAGCAGTGTCAGGATCAGCTCTTGCAAGTTTACTGAGTTAACATTGTGTAAATTCTAGAAAGAATGCGCTTAAAGGAAAACCTAATTAACTCGGCTTTTAGTTAGACTATAATGACTGGACAAGATTAATATGTGAGTCAGCCTTTATTTCCTGAAGCATCCATTTATTTCTGTGTTTTAAGAGACACATACTGTATTTCTGTGAACCAGCAGCTACCAATTAAATCTCTAGCTGTGCTTCAGTAAACTGCCAGACATTTTTAGCAGTGAATTTCAAGTGAGATGAAGCTTTGTACTAGGGAACTTTGAGTGTGTGAGTGAGACTGATAATGTTTTATTTTAAAAATGAAACATTAACAGAGATAAATATTGTATTCCAGTTGCATGTTGAATGACTGCAATCCAGGGGTTCCAGTCAGAAGCCTAATGCCCCAAATAATCATCAAAACCAGACAGCTGAGTTGGGTGATGCTTCTTACATGTATGCTCAAGCACAGCCATTTAGCCAGAGGGACTCTTGTTTTTAAGACTATTAAGTGGATTTGGGGGAAAAAATGCATTGCAGATGTCTTTTTTTTTTTTAATTAAAAAACCCAGGAGCTTTTTGCTGCAGTGTGTTGAAGGACTGCAGGTTAAGACCTTCTACATCCTCTAATATAAGTTATTGCTGCATCTTAAAATGAACTTCATATGCTTCCAATGATCCTAGGTAATTTCCTTTAGAAAGAAATCAGCATGGTGTCTAATATTCTAAGTGAGGATAATTAAAAGTAGAGCCAGGCATAAAACAGTGAAAATTCTGTCCTAGTTAATTTTAAGGAGCAAGATGGTAAAGAATTTAATTGAACACAGCATATTTCAAAAGGTTTGGAAATGAGTGTTGGATAAAAAGGAAATTGCAGTAAAATTACAATTTATTAAAATTGCAAGAAAAGTACAAATTTTCTTTAAAGTTTTGTTAATAAAGCCCTTACAGGTTTAGTAGCTTAAATATACCTGTGCTTCTGTACATTTTTCTTTTGAGATCTCCAATTAATTGAAGTTTTATTGTCACTCTCTCATACATGTACCTTCCTCCTTCCATTGAAGACATTGCCAAGATTTCCATGGGTTGATATGATATTAAAATCAGACATTCTTCTCTTAGTAGTTGGAAAATGTCAAAGTATTTAAATGCTATGTTCAATAGAAATTTTGGTCCCAGACTCAAGTTTGGGTCCTGATGGGTTCTTACAGAAGACAGAACTTTCAGCCCAGGAAGGATAATTGTGGTTTCTTCTGTCATTGCTGGGAAATGAGATTGTCCAAGAACTCAAAATATCTAAAATAAGCTCATGCTGTTGATCTGTCCTTCTGAATAAGGGTGTCTCTATTAGGCTTAGAAGCCTAATTTCCATTTCCCTCCTACCTCCACCCCCAGTCCTGATGTTTGTCCTGGAGCAATGTAGAGAGCAGAAAGGGAAGTTCCCAACAAATTAGCAATAACTTAGCAAAGGCAGGTATAATAATCAGTAAATAGGTTATTTAATGTTATGAATTTTCATCAGGTATCGAAATACGTGTTTACTTTGTTCATTGGTTAGAAACATTACATATCCGCTTCACTGATAAGTAGACAAAAAATACAAGGCTCAGATGTCACTTTACACTTTTCCTCTGACTGTTTTCATCTGCAGAAAGCGTAAACAGAGAGGGTCATTCAACAGAATTTCAGTATCACTCAGCTTTGATTGAAATCTTAGCTTACATTCTTTTTCTAAACAGTCCTTTTTATCTATGGAAAATCTTATGGAACTTAACAAATGATACACAACAGTACCATATTATAAGGTGCTTTAAAATATCACTATCTCTCTAATTACCAGGAAATCAGGAATCTTTCCCTAATTCAATAATAGAATAATAAAAGCGAAGATATTTAACACAATATTTAAATTGGAGGGGTGAGTTGAAAAAAAGACTATCTCAATTAAACTTCCTTGAAATACAGTGTATTTAAAAGAGTGATCATTAAAAGCTGTGCTGGAACAAAATTTTCATTTAATAAGCTCTTGAATTAGACATTTACCAGAGTAAAAATGTTAAGTAGTTGGAAATTGGAGGACATAGAATTGGCTGCTGCTGTGGCTCTGATCTTGGCTCAGCTCTGCTCCATGGTTTGAGAGAGATTCCACGTTGATGACATGCTGGAGACATGGTAACATTACAAGCTGTGCTCTGCACAAGAGAAACATTAGGATATCCTTTTTGTGCCTGGGAATAAAACGTTTGAGTTATCAAGGAAACAATGTATAGATGCATGTGATAATGGAGATGAATTGACAAACAGTATTCCAGTAAGGATAAACACTTACAGGTCTGAAGCTGGCCTGCTGTTGCTCCAAGAATACTCTAAAACTGAGATTACTGCATTGCAGAAGCAAAATACTGCAATGGTGTAGAAAGAAAACTTTTCATTATCAGTTCAAAGAAATTCTCTGGGTGAAGGAAAATTTTACCCATTTTTCAAGTAATGTTATCTCCCAGACTTTCGCATCTCATCTAGGAAAATGGACTGAAGAACTGAGATATGTAGCCTGGGAGCTGCATACCTCAGAGCACAGATTTGAAAGATTGACAGCTGTGCTGTCCATACAGTCAGAGCATAGGGGCTGCTCTGTGGGCTGAATTTGCAGGTCCCACTTGGTCCCTGTTTGAACAAAGCTCTGTTATATGACAGCATGTTTCGAATAAGGAAGAGCAGAAAAAACATCGGGGCTTGGTCCAGTGACATACAAGTGCTTTGAAAATGCTATGTGTTTTATTGAGTCCTGAGGCAATAAAAAGTTACTGAAAACTTAGACTCTATGAAGAGTGAAGAGATTCAAGATCTAGAGACATTCAGAGAACAAATTTAAATTAAGTTTGGAACAGGGTTTTGAAAACCTAATGATGTTAGGGAGCCATCAGAGCTGGGTTTTGGTTTCTTTTTTTTTTTCATGGTGTTTTTTTGTTACTTCTTGTGGTTTGCAACATCTCAGCTTTGGCAGTGAACAGCAGGAAATAATAGAGGAGATAATGGCAGTATGGTAACGTACCAGTAACAAACCCACAAACTACTAAAATTGATACACTCCCTTTTATGAAGTGTTTCTTGATATTCACATCAGCTAGACTGATTCTGTGTGGGTTTTCTTGTGGGTTTTCTCTTGAATGTATAGAAATCATAAATGCCACAAAGGTTAGGCAGCCTGAAACAGTTGGAATGTCTCTCATAAGCCACTCTGGCCAGTCTGCAATTACAGGAGCAAATGCCCAACTCATCAGCTTAATTAAAATACAAACAAATCTTTATTTCATGTCTTGTTTTGTTGGTTGAACTGGTGAGACCTTGGAGTGCAGGTGCACACCTAACCCAAGTCCTTGTTTTGCTTCAGCCAAAATCTTGACCCATATCGAGATGACCCAGATTACTCATCCTTGTACCCTGGTCCCCAGTGGAAGGAAATTTGACCATATATGAGTCTGTAAACTAAACCTATATTGTTAAAGCTGTGTTGTGGAAATGATTGGCAGTCTGTTGTCTCTTTTCACTTGCTTTTATGCATGACAAAGCCCTTTCATATTGGGGCTTCACCTAGTTTTTCACATAGCTTGTTCATTGATGCCAATGCAGACTGAGAAAATACAATTCACATCCTTCACCAGTTGTTTTCACCTGGGTTGATGTCCTTGCACTGTGGATTGTTAGTGATGCTGAGGCATCTTTTTTCCTGAAAGAAAATTTATGCAAAAAGTGTAGTCAATAGCAAGTGATTAATCTGTCTTATCTAGGCAGAACTTCCAAATTTGTACTAACTAGTGGGGGTTCACAACCCAAAAAGCTGAGTGTTTGGCTGAAATGTTCTCTCTAACATTTTGAATTTACTCTTTCTGATTGCTTAGGAGGGTTATTTATTGTGTATATTGTGATTGATTCTTTGATTTCAAAAATATCATCTTCATGAATTTCACCTCATGTAGTCATGCAACATCTACTGTAAAATTGTAATTGCTACTTATTTTTGTTAACTGTTACTGTATTCCTCTCAATTCTCTTGAAAGTCTTTATGGCTCTGTTTGATGGAAATTTGTAAAAGTACAAAGCTTGTTATCTATGTCACACTTTTTGTTTCCTGCATGGTTCTTTTTGTTTATGTATCAGTAATCTCAGCCATTCTGGTCTTTATGTGACCGATTAGTTGGTCATTGACAGAAATCACACACATAGCAAAACAGATTTTAACCTTTGATAATATTTTGGAAAAAATGGATGGACATGTTGATTCAGACCTGTAAGTGTTGAGAATGTACATGTGATTATGAGATAACTGAGGTTCTCACTATGTCTGTGCTGAAAGTATTCCAAGTGACTACAGGCTTTGAATACATCCAGTTTCATCCCCAAAGAATGAGCCTTGAATTCTGAGGGCTGAGCTGAAAACATAATGGAAAGCTTATGAGAAGTTCAGTATGTAAACTAGAAATTCTTCATTGCTCATTTTTCTCTGTTGGAGGGTGGGGAAGAGGAAGAAACAAAAGCCTGCAAAATGATATTGCAAACACTTGAGAAGACAATTGAAATCCTGGTTTCAATAAAATCCTTCAAACAAATCACTTTGGCTACAGGGATTCTCTTCCCATATTTTGTTAGGAAACTGGAAACATAATATAGCCTTGAATTGGTCCTGGTAACATTCCCCCAAAGAAGCCTGGATAATGCTACACAATTTGTGCAGATTTCAGGTATTTGGCTGCAAGAGTTACCTTCAAAAAGAGTCGAACAATGCTGAATTGGCAGGCTCACTTGGCAAAATCTCCTTCATTAAAAAAACAACCCTGAAGGTAACCTGGTGGAAGTTTTTGCAGATCAGTAAAACTAATGAGAGAAACTGTTTGCAGTTAACCTGAAGGTCATATGATAATTTAGGTCAGCCTCAAATCCAGCCTCCTGTTTGAAGCCAGGTCAGCTCTGAGATTAGTTGAGGCTACTCTCAGGAATAAAGTCTAGGAAACTCCAAGGAGTTGAGATTGTTATAACCCTACATGCTATAGCCGAGTTTATTTTGCATGGTAATATTTTTACCTGTTGAGCAGACACCTTGCCGGTGAGTGCACACATGAGAATTGCAGAGTGTGATGCACAAACAACTGGAAATAGTCCAGATTTCCAGTTTCTGAGGTGAAGGGAAGAGGGAGAGAGTAGACTGTAGCTTTTGGGTCATGAAGGCCAAAAGCCAGTTGCATTTTTGGAGCCATCCACCAGCATGGGCCATTCTCTTGAGTGACACAACTCCTTTTAATCAGTATTACTTATTTTCCTCTGGTTAGGCCTGTATTATGTGCAATGCAGGGCACTGGTGAGTGCAGAACCTCTGAGCCACCAGCTGCTGCAGCCATAGGAGGACTGCTCCAGGTCAGGGGCAGCATGAGAGGAGAGGGACCAGTCCCAAGGGCTGCAGCATCTTCTCACCACACTTCTGGTCTCCTTTCATTGTTGACCGAGCACATCTTTGTACCATTCCTTTGCTTGGAGCTCTTCGCTGTTTTGCCAAACACAGGGAATGTTAAAAGCAATTAGGGACGTATAATGAGCTCTTTGAATTCTTCTTGGTGATGTGTTTGATTTCCTCTTTAATCAAAGCTGAATTCTTATGCTGGCAATTGCTGCAAAGCCCAGATCCTATGATCATGTCACCTTTTTCTTGAAAATAAAAGTCTTTCTTGACAAAGAAGATAACATATTCCCAGGGTGACTTAATAGATCCTTGCTCTATTCAGGACTTAAATGTAATGCTTTCAGATCTAAATGCCAATATGAATGCTATGTCTCTTTCACTAAACCACGATTTTCTTCCAACTTTTTCTTTAAAATATATTAAGCGAAGTTACTTCTAACTGTCCAGTCTACTATTTATGCAGCTTGGGGTGTATGTGATCAGTGGAGCTGGGAAAATGCAAAGGTAACAGCTGACTTTTTAGGCTAATATTTAAACTGGGCAATGAATAACCTGAAAAGTAAGATACATTTCTTAGATGTTCTACTTCTGGTGTAATTTGAATTTCTATGGTCTCTTATTGCCAGCCTGAACTGACTCGTTTGAGATTTGCCTGGCATTTTTCTGGCAGACATGCATCTGAAAATTTTTCAGGGTTTTGATTTTTCTCTTGGCATTTTGCTGCTAGTCAGAATCAAATTTTTATGGAGAAGGAATTTTGCTCCACAAAAAGGTAGGCTACCACTTTGTTTACTAAGTGAGAGCACTTGCTACTCTTGGGTTTATACCTACAGCATCTGTAGGGAATGTACTCCATCCTGTACAGTTTTGAGAATGACCTCAAAAGCAGTAAACTCCAGGTCTAACTGCTGCTGCTTTACACGTGCTCTACAGGAAAGCTGAGGATAGCCCAGCTGGTGTGCTCAGCCATGTGTTGAACTGCCAAAGAGGCTATTATCAGCATACTGGCTCTCTAGATGTCCTCCAGTGCATTGTCCTGTCACAGTTCCAGAAAAAAGCCTTTGATCAAGCATTTTGGTTTGCACTCAAATTTGTTGCCTGCATAGAAATTGTACCTGTGGCCAGGTTTTTTGCAGAATACCCAAAACTGCCTCCCACAAACAAGTATCTAGATAGTTAGTGAAAAAGTTTGAGGGAATTTTTCCATGCATTGAATAAGGGCCTCAACAATATTGTAGCTTCTGCTGAATAACAGACCCAGCTGAGGCTTTCATTCAGCGCTTTATGGCAGATGCTGGAGTACACAATAAATTGTTATTCAATAGAGCAGAATTTGGCATATGAATTAAGGTGAGCAGTTTTATAGCATTATCCAGAATAAATTTCCTACTGCATGGCATACTCCCTTAGGAATGTCTCCAAAACGCAGGCTGTAAATTTTCCCTTAGCAAAATTTATCTATGATGGGGTCTGTTCATTTTCAGAGATTTTAATCTTCACAAGCAACTTCAAACTCCTATGAAAAATTCAGTTGTTTACACAGATAATACTCTGGAACAGACCAACTTGTACTGTCAGATTAATTTGCATTTAGATTGTGCCTTTCCAATGGCTCTGAAAGATACTGCAAATACAAATTAGGTTTCACACTAGGACTGTAGAAACCATTATTACT